GGCAGGAACCCTGACTCCGCAGGCCTTTCAGCCCAGGGCACTGCTGGGATCAGTTGGATTCTGGAAGGCAGAGACTTGGTCCAAGTGAGATCCAGACCCAGTCCAAGTTGTCTCATGGCTTCCTCAGAACTGCCAGCCACTCATTTGATTCCTGGGTTTATAGCAACATCAATGAAAGGATCGCCACCGCGGCAAGGCCAGGGGCAGCTCCGCCATCTTCCATCTCTCCCGGCTTCCCCACTTCTCTTAGTTTCTTTGGCTAATGCTACGGAACATTTATTGTGAAGAATTTAATTGTGCTTTAGATGAATCAGTGTTTGTCAGGAAAAACAACAAAAAGAGACAGGGAAACAGGGAAAGGAGAGAGAAGGGGAGAGGGGCCATCAAGCATGATGTGCTTCTCCAGGAACTGGCCTCTCCTGAGAACATGTCCAAATGATGTGAGGCAAATAAAATATGTGAGGGGGAAGATGGGAAGAAGAAGGGGGAGGAGGTAGAGGAGGAGCGGGTGGAATGGAGAGGAGGGATTTCTTTAAAGGAATTGGCTGACACCACTGTGGGGCCAGCAAGTTCCAAATCCATAGGTCAAGTGGGCCAGAAACGGCCCCTGGATAGTTCTGCTCCAGTTTTGAGGCAGAATCTTCCTCTCAGAAACCTCAGTATGCTTTGGTAGACACCCGCTGATTGGGTAAGGCCCACCCGCATTCCCAAGAGCTATCCAAAGTTGTCAGTGTTAATCACTTCATCAGAATACGTCCATAACAACGTCTTGGCAAGTGTCTGCCAAACGGCTAGGTGCCATGGAGTCGGGTCGACTCCTAGTACCCTGGTGTGCAGCAGAGCAAACATCGCCCCATCCTAGACCATCCTCACAGTTGTCCTGATGTCGAAGCCCAGGGGACAGGGCCCCGTAGCATGCAAACTAACACATAAAGTGAACTATCCCATACCCTGTCCTTCCAGGGACTCTCTTTAACACCTTGTTACGTAGTTTGTATGAGATGGGAGGAAAAAGTGCAAACACAGGTATCCCTCACTTTGTGCAAGTTTGTTTTTATGCCCCTTTGCTTTCCCGAAAGACCTACCTGAGTACATGTGTTTGCTAATGGAAAGAAATCCAGAGTGAATTTTTGCTTTTTAGGAAAGGCGCCAAGTGTGCCTAGCCGCCTGCGTTCATTTTGCAACGAGCTATCAGGAGGCAGTGGGCACCCTGAGCGACGAGAGTGGCGCCCCCAAGCCCCTTCCTCGGGAACGACACCCAGCACTGAGCAGCCATTGCTGTGTACACTTGTGTGTTGCTGAGTGTTGTTC